ATCAAAGAATAAAGATAAAAGAAACGCTCCTCTGCAGATCTTTGAGCACGAGAGTTTTGAATTACCTCACGTCTAAAGATTGAGAGAAAAGGTTTAGTAGACTTCTTGATGAAAAAATGGACTCAAATGCATTTGCTTCACCAATTTTTTTTAAAGAATTTAGATCATTTGTAACGCATACCACCACTTCTTGATACTCTTAAACCGACCCAACATTGTCGATTTTTCTGATCTTTTGAGGAAATGTTTGAACCATTTTGCAGAATCTTTAGCGTATCGTTTTAGATCGTTTGTATAGTCAATATAATAAAGACCGAACCTCCCGGCGTATCCATGTTCCCATTCAAAGTTATCCAACAATGACCATGCCAGATAGCCTCTGACGTCACACCCATCCTCACTGCATTTGTATTATATATACACATTTATATCGATTATAAGAATTAAGTCATTAATCAGTTCTTTTTGTAAATTTCTTAAACTTACGTGATAGCTTTGTGGAGTTGTTGAAAATGTTGTTCATGGTATTCGATTCTCTGTGTGTCCTTTAATATTTCTTCACGTGGAAGCTGGCCAAGATCGTAGTCATCAAATCCTGCAATATTGAATTTTTTTGTTTGTTTAATAAAATAGATAATCAATTATAATTAGGTGAAAATATAACAAAAATGATCGAGGTTAAAGTTCTTACCGTTTTCAGTTATGTAAATCGTTGGATTGTTATATTTATTTTTAATGTAATTTAAAATATTTCGAAATCCTTGAGGATATGAATAAAGAAGTTTTGATCCATCCTGAAATTGAAAAAAAAACAAAGAATAATTCTCTCAGTCAAACAATGTTCTAAAAGTTGTAATTCACATAAAAAAATTTCAACTAATTACAGTAAAAGATAGACTAAAATTCATACCGATTTTGAAGAGATGTGATCGCCGCTACGGTTTGTTCCTAAAAAAAGAAGAAAAAGTATTATTAGATTAACAAAGTAGCTAGATTAGGAAACTAAAATTTCTTTACTCTTAAATGTTAGAGGTTTTTACTTTTGTATTCAAGGTGTTGATCCGTGGAGAAACGAAGTCGTGAAAGGTCAGTATGAAGCTTGTGAGCGACGAATTGGGCAGTATAGTAGTTTATTCCAATAAAATCAAATGAATTTTTGAGCATGTCTGCTTGTTCTTTCGTAAAAGAAGGCAATCTATTTTCAGCGTTTTTCTTCATCGTTTCTGGATAATCTCCAAAGATTAGAGGATCAAGATGCCTACATAAATAAACAAGTTAAACCGATTAATTCTTACATAAACTTATGTGAATTTTAAATATTTTTTGTAAATTTGTAAATGAGAAAAATACTTACCAACCAATATAGGTGGCAAGAGCTCGTTCAACTGCTTCTTTATCCGCTTGGGAATTAATATCATAAGGTTCGAACCACATAGGAGATAACACTATACCAATCTTAGCATCTTTTGAAATCTGTTTTGCAAAAAAAAAAAAAAATTGATTATTATCCGAAAAAACGAAATTTAAGGTGTTGTGACATTTTTCTAACTCACTAATATAGTGAGATATTGTTTTATATATCTATACCTTGTCACAATTTCTAAACTCTTCAACAGCTGCGGCATGAGCTAGAAGGAGGTGATGAGAGACTAGGTAAGGTTCCGTGCTCGAATCACCAGCAACACATAAGCTGTTTACCCATTTCGAGCATCGTCCCATGGCTTTACTACCACTGTCATAACCCGCAACACTATAAACATATGGTTCGTTGACAGTTATCCACATATCAACTTTTTCACCGAATTCTTCGAAGCACAATTTAGCGTAGTTCCGGTAATCATCACTGTTTTGCAAAAAAAAATTAAAGAAAAAAAATTATTAACTTTACGTTTTTGAGTTTATATGTATGGTGATTCATGAAATTTTTGTTTTGTTACTTACATGATCCTAGGGCTTAAGAAACCACCATACTCATCGTCTAAAACTTGAGGGATATCCCAATGGTAGATAGTTACAATAGGTTTTATGCCTGCGTACATGTTTGAATATAGTATTATTAGAAATACAATAAAATATCGGAGTTGTTATTTATACAAACTCGTTTGAGAATATTATTCTTACCGTTCTCGATAAGTTCATCAATAACATTTTTGTAAAATTGAATTCCTTCACTGTTTACCCCACCACTTAGTTTGCCACCTGAATATTCAAAAGGTGTCAGAGATACAAGATTGTGTACGTATTATTATTTTTATATAAAATATCAAAATTTTCATTACGACTCACTTGGTAATATTCTTGACCAGGAGATGGAGAATCTGAATGTATCCATATTCATTTCTTTGATCAATTTGATGTCATCCTGCTCGTTCAGTACGTGAATTTATGGTAAATATGAGTTAAAAGAAAAAAACACAAAGTATTAAAATTAAGTTTGGGTCAATTTTTATGTTCCGCCCATTTTTTTTTTTTTGAAAAACTTTAGAAATTTCGGATCTTTGATCCATAATCTCCCCCGTAGATAATCATCCCTCCTAAGTGGAGTTGAACTACTGACCTTGAACTTGAAAATTTTATCAAGACCATTAGGCCACCAACCACTTGATTCTCCAATCTCTTTTAAAAGAAATATTTTGTAAAACATGTTTTAATTAATAATTTTTAGTTACTAAAAAGATAAAAGGCTGAGACAAAAAAAGTGCAGATTTTATATTTTCGGCTAATATTTCCAACAGAAAATAAAAGTCAAAAAACCATACCTTGTAACGATGATAAAAATCAACGGCAATATCTCCATTATCCATATTAGTCCTCTCTGCAAAATTGTACCATGCATGCATGTTACTTACTATTTAACATTTTATATGACCAGAATTAATATTTCACAAAATATAAAATTTTCCAAGATATATTTGTGAATTGTAATTAATAGTTATATGATCATAAAATGTCGAAAATAAATATTAAAAAATATTCTAAAATACCACAAAACCTAATTTTTGTTTTTCGAAAGACCACGAACTTTAAGTTTAAATGCAGACCTGGAAATGCATGCGTGAATGAGTCCCAAATGCTCGGTGTCCTCCCTCCTTCTTCAATTGCACCTTCATACTGCATCACACATGAACGTATATATACTTATATTATTAATTAATATTGTGTCACAATGGTTTAAGGAACACAATATTTCATTATAAAAAACTAACCTGATAAGCTGCAGAAGCAACACCAAAACTAAAATCAGGAGGAAAACTATAACGATCAAGTCGTTTTGTCGAAAATGGAAGAGATCTTCCCATTGAAACATCCCATAAGGCTACAAAGAGTGTGACTACAAGTGCAAGCTTAATCGCCATTATTTTTCTCAGTCTATATTGTGCAAATGGATTGAATGAATACTTTGAATGTAACTAGCGTTAAAATGCTAATCGTATTCTGAGAAATGTTGATCGATGTGGAAGGGTTTATATAGAGAAAGGAGGCTAGGGCAACACGGTACAGTAAGACTGAGAATAATCAAACTAATGAATTAAAAAATAATATTTAGTAGAAGGCGTTCCTTGACTAGTATTTGTTAAAAGTTGATCAACCTGGACCCATCTCGTTTTTGTTGCTTATGGATAAAAAGTCTATATATTCTTCAAAAAAAGAAGTCTATTATTTCGACCCAAAAAAAAACCGAAGTCTATCATAATTCTATCATATCCCTTTATCTTATAAAACAGAAATTGGAGAGAAAATTTTTCTTTTACTATAATAATGATATTTCAGCTTTTTAATACATGTCAATTTCTCTAATTTTTTGGTTTTCAGTTTTTTTTCTTT